GTAAACAGCTGATTTCGAGGCGGAGTAACAAGCGACACGTATACATTACTTCGCTTCGAAATTAGCTATTTACTCATCGTTTCTAAGAGGTAAGCTATTTCTTTTACACACAGAGCCTGTCCTACCGCTTCTCGTACGCTCATTCGTTTATATATTTTAATTAATTACGAAATAAATATTGAGAAAATTTCAAAATAGTATATAACTTTTATGATTATTTTGACCCGTTCTACCCGCACACGGCGATTGCTCGATCAGTTACTAGACACCCTATATATACAGGTACTGTATGTCCCGCGTAAGACGTATTTGTCCATTTTCTTCGCCGGCCGCGGCGAGCCGTATGTCTCGCCTACCGCGTCGCCGCGCTCTGATATGCCCAACTATTTTAATTAATATCTCGAAATTTTACGTGGTTGTTTGAAAAATTACCTATATAATATTTGTTTACTTTTATCTACCTATATTTTTTTTCTTGGACGCCTTATGCGGGACACCCCACGCATGGAGAGTTCGTTACAGATCAACGAAAATTTTTTACGAAAAACCATCGTCTCTTTGCGGGAAAGCTGTTCCGCTATACTCAATACTTGAAGAATCCTCCAGACCAGTTTCATACAGTTGAAATAGTCTGAGGAAGTTATCCATTCACCAGATTGCTTGTTAATTAAGTAATTGAATCATAGTTCGCTCTAAAAATAAAAAAAATTATTAGTTATTATATTCAAGATATAAACAAAATATTTTAAATATGTTCATAAGTATTTTCATTATTCGACTATTATAATTAATTCTGTCAAATGTATTACACTCACCTATGCAAGTCTCTACAGATATAATTCCTTAAAAAAACCATATGTCAGTATCCAGACAGCACAATCTACTAAAAGATGTCTTAAAGACGTTCAAAAGATGTCCTTATTCCTTTTGGATGTCTTTTGAAGGTCTTTAAGATATCTTTTAGCAGTTTGTGCTATCTGAGTAGATTGTTATGGTATCTATATTGACCATCCACCTGGGGTCTTGGAATCCTATAGTTCTACTCGTAAGGATAATGAAATCATTTAAGGTGAAAATATTTACTATACAGTCATCTAATATGAAATCTTTTATTATAGAGAAGATTCCCAATTCTTTCTTCAAAGAATATTAAAATAACAGACTATTAGATAATTCTAAAATAAGTTTTCAAGAAAAATCAATCTTTCTGAAACTTATTTACTGTTCTTAAAGACTCTTTCTTTTAGCATCAACATGGAAAAAGGCAAGCAAACATTTATACAGCATCAGATGAGAATAGTTTATATAATATTATAAGTCTCAAAATTCCCCATTGTCTTTCCATGTTCGACAGAATTTGCAAGTAAAATGTATAACGAAAATTACGGCTCAGGAAGTCACTTTTCCATCGCACTGACAGAAGATGTAATTCACATCACGCTTGAAAAATGCGGTAGGCAGTAAGCCACGTTTCTTTCAGGCTAAGAGCCAGGCAGCAAAGGCATGAACCAGAGTCCCAGCAGTGTGTTCATCATCAGGAATCATAACTCCTCCGCTTTGGAGAACGACGAGGACGTTAATCACAGTATTGGAGAAGAAAGAAAAGGATCGGTGACCTCAAAAGAATAGCGCCGACGAGATCTGCCTTTCGTATGATATGTGATACAAGAGATATAACTTCCAGAGTGATATAGGCTACAAACATTTGTCGTGTGCTGCAATAGTCGGTTGATAGCGTTTCCTGCATGTATATTCAATTGAAAACAACGTGAGCAAGTATAGATCGTGACAGGACTGTACTCGTTAGAATTCTAATGGTATCTACAGTATTGTGCATACGTGGCTAAAATCGTAATTCTGCGTATAATAATGAAATATAATCGAACTTAAATCAAGACGTGTGTGTATCATGTTGGAGCAAAACGTAAAACATAAATATAGGTATCGTCTAAAAAATACTGAGAGTACAATATACAAATAAAATGACGAGTGAGAAAGAAAAAAAGGGGGAACGAACGACGACGAATGCAGCGTGCATCGAAAAATTATCATTATCGTTATATTAAAGGGGAGAGAGAGAGAGAGAGAGAAAGAGAAAAACGCGTTGCGATGTATCGCGCCGTAGGATGCCAGGCGACACCGTGTGATTATGGAAAAAATGGCACATTTATTATATTAGTGATAGGTAATATTACTAGTGATATAATTACATTTTTTTTTCTTTCTCAATCGATACACTTGTTCACTCTCTCATTCACATACCCGTGCTCTCTTTCTTTCTTTCTTTCTCTCTCTCACTCACTCACTCTCTCCCTTTCTCACATTCTCCCACTTCTCTTTCGCTCAGTTTATATATTTATATTCATCTCGTACTTCATTAATATTAATAATCGCATGTAGGGTCGAAGAGATCGGTTCTCAACAACATATTCCAGGCCCGTTCACACAAACAGCCTTACTTACGCGTTAGTCCTCTCGTTTTTGCTCTTTCCCTTTTTTTTATTACATATGATACAGGTACTATACGCCTAATATAGTTTACACCTTATGATATGATAATTATCGATTCGCAATTGTGCCGACAAAACTGAACCCTTACGCAATTAGACCGCGACGCAATAGTTCCTCTCACGTTTCTCACACCGATATTTAATCGCCTAACAGTAACGATAATAAATTGATCCTTACACCGCGGAGGTTTTACAACCAACACGTTATACCAAACGAAAGCGTGCACACGTACGCGCCCGCACAGTGCCGTCCACGATATGCGCGTGTACTCGAAAATAACATCATTATCGTCGTCATCGTCATTGTCATTAAGAGCGTAATTATCTCGTCTCATTTACAAAAGTCTGTGTGAAGGGGCCTCTCCATTCCACGGCCGATACGATTTCGACTTCGACCCCCCGTTATAGACTGTCGCCTCTCCTTCTTCGGCTTCTTCACTTTGACTATCTACGACTATCGACAAGTGTCTAGCTTAGACTGGCTTACGAGCTATTTATTGTCGTTATTATTTTACATGATTACCTTCGCGAGTACAAGTACGTGATCGTGTAGTTTTTTTTCTTTTTTCTTTTTAGTTTAGTGTCTGTGAGCGGCTCCCTCTTCCTCTATCTGCAATTTGTCACAATGTATAATTATCGTCACGTTTTCTCTTTCTGTCTACCTTCCTTCTTCCCTCCCTGCCTCTTTTCCTTTCCTTTTTACTCCCGTCTCCTTCCTGTCATTAAGTATTTTATAAAGCGTCGCCCGCGACGACGCGGGAGCATGATTAATGATTATTAATTTATGAGCGGAGCGAGGTTGCGCGAGTTCTTGCCGATCAGATTACCTACAAATCTACAGATCCTGATCGATAACGAAAATGATTTCTCTCTCGTAATAATTCTATGATCTAGTGAGGGCATGTGAACGAACTTACACACATAGCTTAGAAAAATCAACGCCGGGACAGTCTCGCTAATTATTCTCATTGTCCGCAATTGTCGATCGGTTTCGGTAAGATTAGAGAACGAGAGACTTCGAAGGTATTCACGATGTCGCTCAGGGTATTGTATCAAACGTTACATCTCGGAGTATCTCGACGGTACTTCACTCTGTATGATTGTGTTCTGTGTGATTCGCGATAACCGCGCGCTGCGATTTTTGGATTGCGCGCGATTTCACTGCTCGGCCGCAACATCTCTCGTCGAAGGATGCACTTCATACTACGACACTTCGCACAATTGAGGCAGGCACTCGATCGTTATCAAAGACGAAAGTTCCGATTGGCCGATTGAGCGAAAAGGGAAAAGCTGGCTTAACAATGTGAGTGTCTCGAGCGTGATCATCAAGATGACCGAGGCGCAATTTCGCAAGCGCATGATTTAGATATCGTTCGATTCGAGAGGATTGCCGTTACATGAAACAACGACGGAGTTAAAATCTAAGAAGCGTTCGAGAAACGAGGAAAGATAAAATATTTGCACGCACATACCTTACAATAAATATAAATTACGATATGTCTGACACGTTTTGATATGAGTTCAAGTTCATCGACAAGCGAAAGATTTCGTCACAGACTGCGCGATACATACACGCGAAATTCCTACGATCCCTCGTGATCTCGATAAAGATCCTGTCATGCTTTTGAAGAAAAATATAGCTTCGTGAAGGTGGGAGAGGGTGGGGGGTGGGGGGGGGGAAGGATTATTCGCGGATGCTCCCGGTGAGGAGCAAAGCATACGGAACAAGCGAAAGAAAACAGAGCAGAAAAGAGGCGGAATGAACACAGCAGCGGGCAATACTCGATACGTCGTCGTCGTGGTTCTTGTTTTCAATAAAATTTATTTAAGAATCTAAATAAATTAAAATACATGGCAACTGGGTACATATACGTTGAGCTATATTTTTGTTCAAAAACAAAAATGTCCCGTTCTCTCTGCTCTCTCTCTCTCTCTCTCTCTCTCTCTCTCCCTCTCTCTCTCTTTCTCTCTCACGAAAGATCTCATCGGCGGTAATTAATTGATAATAATTAATGATAATTAATAATTAATAATAATTAACCGTGATTATGACAGGGTTGGCTCCTCTCGCAATCGATGCGAGCTGAGCCGCGCGATTCCGTCTCGAACCCCTTTCGCGTCTTTCGTTTCGACGCTTAACTCCTTCCGTTCCGTTTGTTCTAACATTTTGCCGTACGCATAAGTACAGAAATCTCGACCGTATAACAGGTGGCAGGGGATAAAACGCAGGAAGAGGAGCGTTGTCGAAAAGATTCGAGAGGGTCCAGAGTGATTCGACGATGTACCAAAACCAAAGTGGGCGTCATCGCAAGACCTTCTAACGGTGCGGCGTCAAGAGAAAAAGAAAAACAAAACAGAAAGACCGCTATGTAAAGCGTTTGTATCTTGTGCGTTTTTTCATTAAATATACCGGTGTCGTGTGTGTCTCACGTTAAGGAATCTGCCTCGCATCAGGCATCGTAATTATTTTCTCGTCGCGTGCTCACGTTTTGGCACATGTAAATGCTTGTCAATTCCGTTGACAACATATTGCAATGCACAATTAACACACGATCATCTCTAAACGGACGTCGGCGTGAAAACGAAAACGAGCAAATTGATTCGGTAATTTTACTTTTTTTTTTTTTTTAGATTCTACGTGAATTTTTCTCCGCAGCCGCACAGATTTACTGTCCCCAATATGTATGTGCATATATACATTATATGTATATATACCTTACTCAATGCCGCAACAACACTCGAGATAATCCATTTCGGAGTTACACTTCGTGTCTCCGTGCCGAAGGCACGGACAACGAGAGATGTAATTAGTAGAAATGATTAATATATAATTCGAAGGTGTCCTAAATACGTCTTAAATTAATATTCGTTGATCGCTCTTAAATTAAAAGTCATTCGACCGATGATTAGAAATAAAATGTAATGTCAACGTCCTAAGGATCTACATAAGAATCGTTCATTTGACGTGATACAAAACAAAAATCTTTAAATATTATTTCTTACAAATGTACGGTTTTTCTTCCGGTTTTGGACACGGATCGTTCACGCTATTTTACACAATCTGGAAAAGAAATTATTAAAATAGCTCACCGATGAAGAGTAAATTTACATGTATTAACGAGCACGTATAAATTACGCTTAATATAAACTAAGGCTGAATTCTTCGTTTCAGCCTGATATTAAAATCCAAAATGTCCTAAATGGCACTTTAAATATATATAAATGGCATATATGCATATAATATACATATATATATATTTATATGTATATACACAGGATATTTTAAAACTATCGTATGAACAATTCAATAATGCATTCTGGAGTTTAGTTGAGATCGAAAATTCTGAGTGTTTAAAAATAAAAGAACTTCCACGTCGTTTTAACTTTCCAATTAATACTATATATGTCTCAATGACTAAGTTTTTATTTAAAATTCTATTCAAGTATATCCCACCTGGGAAATTAATTAAAATATATAATTTAGTTATATATATAACTTGAAAAGTATTGAGGCAACAATATTTTCGACTTCAATTAACACTTTGCCTACCGGCACCGTCGGTAGGAAACCTATTAAAATAGGTTTTCGGGTAGTAAAGTGTTAAGCTGCAGAATACACTATTAAAGTGTTGTGTTATAGTTTTAAGACAGCCTATATATATAATCAAATTTTAGCGATAAAACGTTCGAGCATAGCGAAATAAATATATGCCGATAGCTTCGTCGAATAGGATAACCTTCGCGTTTATATATTTCTCTTGATTTCTTTCGTGATACTAATGTAAGAGAGAAATTTCGATAGCTGGAGAGTATTTTGGACAGCGCGGTATCGCGAGAAATTTTGATTACACTACTTGAAAATCGCAGCTTCTTTATCGCGCCGAACAATACTTATAATCGACATGTCTATCTCTTTTTTCTTTAATATTTAAGGAGAACGAATTTGCCGAGTCGAAGTGAATCGTGTACGCGCACTCAGAAAACTCGTCCTCCCCGCATTTTTTCCTAAACTCGAGAGTTGCACGCGTCGAGAGAGAAGCTGCAAGCACCGGAAAGTATGATTTTCTCACGACACCGCGCGGCAGCCAGTTTGCAAAGTGGTGGGTGACGGTGGGTTGTTACTCTGTGCGAGCGTGAACGAACCGCTAGCATCTTCGATTCACACTCTAGGACGCTCGTAAACGATAATCTCTATATACAGTATCTTCATTGTCTAATGATCAACATAAAGGCGACACAGTTCATACGTTTATATACATTGGCGACGCATCACGTGTGCTCTCCGTCGGCGACGAAGATTTGCAGAGAGACTCGCAGAATCTTGCAGAACTTCGCGGTTCATAACGCGATAATGAGCTGAATTCATGGGAATCGAAGAGATCGCGTAACAAAGTATCACAATGCGCGAATGTCAATTTCGATGATGAAAAAAAGCGATACCTGGGCTCGAGAGTTCTTTTTTGGACCGGTTTTCGGAATTATGCTGCCTTTATCTTCATCTTTAGTCTGTGTGTATACGTATTTTTTGTGTGCATATGTGTGTGTGTGTGTGTGTGTGTGTTTGTGTGTGTGGGCTCTGTTTTCCCGCAAACTCGAGTAGTTCTCCTCCTAGCTATTGCGCGCTATAACGCAACGTGTTAATAGTGTATACACAGAAGTGGGCAATTTAACATGAGTCAGTAGCGAAGTTCGACCGTTAATAAAACCTCGATCGTACTACACATTATATATCTCGAAAGAGAGGAACCATATTCCTTTGTTTCTTTTTCTTTTTCTCGCTATTTATAAAAATAATTTGAAGCCGCCTCGTGGGGGTGGGGTAGATGCCTCTTAAAACTATACATGCGCGCGCTATGCTTACACATGAGCATACGAAATCTCTTCTCTTTCTTGTTTTAACTCGCACACGTGTAAAAGAGCTGCTGCAAAAAGTTATGGGTATTATCGGTGCCGCTCCTTACTGTAATACTCTAAGACTTTTTCTCTTCAATCACTGATAGATAGATTGTGATTTCAAAGGATGATGATGATCCAAGGCTTTAAGTAGAATCATACAAAATACTAATATACAAACGCTACTAAGTAGTAAACGATATATGTAAAACAGAACCGGCTAAACGGATTTCTCATTTTCTTCTTCCTCCCACCCCTCCGATTCTTCTATTTCCTCTTCCTCCTCCACCGCCTTCCTCCTCGTCTACACAATGCGACGCATCACGTATAATATCCACAATTTTCTGCGCGTTTCTCGCAACTCGCGCGAGCCGAAAGTATCTCCATATGGATATGCAAGTCATATCGGCAAACTTGTCGATTTTAAGATGTATCTACCCCTTAACACAGAATGACACCGCCACTGAGCCGCTGCTACTGCGGTTGCGGTGGATTGTGCTGAAGGGAAGGCTGCGGACCCTGAAAAAAGAACGATACGTATATCTCGGTCAAAGACGTATCTCTCGTCACGCGTAGCGGGTAAAATAAGTGGCGCGCTCGCCTTAAGAATTTACTATTCATGAGATCTTACGGGCAAGGCGGGGAAGGGCGCCTGAGAGTGTGCATGAGCATGAGAATGCGGATGTGCTATGTGCGCCGCGAGATGGCCAGGTAATTTGGGACCATCCTCGGCCTTCTCCTCTTCTCTTCTTTTTAAGCACGCAGCCTTCGGATTAAGGTTTCGCTCTGCACAAGAAGACAGAGACAATAAGAACGCCATCGTTAGCGGCGCGAATATTAATAATACTATTGACACGTGAACGTGGTTACCATAAATATCGAGATACGCACCTCTAACTTGCTGCTCGAGCGTCATTATAACTTCGACAGCCATATTGAGAATGCCGAGCTTCGTCTGAGGTTTGTCGGTCTTCAGATGTGTCATACACATTCTTCCTAATTCCTTCAGGGCTTCATTGATGTCCCTGATGCGTATCCTACGACGAGAAATGAGGTTTGAGTATTTCGAGTCTCTGTCACCTTGTTAGAGTAGCATGATCGATCGAGTGCTTTTTTAAGTCTCAAAGACTGTGAGTGTAAAGTCTGAATTTATATATCACGTTGAATAGTCTTCATGAGCACAACAATATCACTTTCAACGTGTGTGTACTCACACACTCATTGCATTAAGCTTTCGAGGAACGATCATCTTGTATAGTCATTACGATAGAAGTTGGTGCGACAGAGCAGAGAAGAGTCGTGAGAAACATAATTGCGTTACGATATCGTGCATCTCTTTAACCAACTCCCTGTATCGATAAGAGTGCAATTATTCAGTATGAGCATGCGACAGAAGGAAATTTCTCGTGTGCGTATCAAAACATGCCGATTTCTCAAGATAATATGTACAGTGAGAGAAACAGAAAGAAAGAGAGAAAAAGAATAGCGTGCCATATATATATATATATATATTTGATCTCTCGTCGTCATCGGGCATGGCACTTTCGGTATCAATGATACATTGTTATGTCACATAGAATACGGGCCGCTGTTTTACCACTGACCGAAATTCAAATCGCATTACGATCGACCGACTCGGAAAAACGCGATTCACATGTCTCCGGCTGCGTAAAACTCATTGAGCTTACCTCTCCCGAGCGTTATTAGCTTGCCGCCTTTCTTTCTCCCTTTGAGCCTTCATGTCGGGATCATCATCTTCGTCCTCGGCGCTCGAACAACAGTTGCGCAATAACAATACGCGATTAATCACCTGGTGCAACTTACGCTAGCCTATTGTTCGTTTATTAGTGACCTAACCGGTAGTCGAATATCACTTGATAAAACGCGTGCGCGCGACACGCAGTCGCGAAAAGATTGTCGGAGAAGTGCTTTTGACCCGCTGGACCGACAACTAAATCGCCTTAATCGTTGTTCGAGAGCAAATTTCGTATGTTTTTTCTTTTCAGCAATATACAGCAATAGCTAATGAACACACGCAAGTGGTCTCATAATTTCGAAATTGTGGATAAATAAACAGGTCACGAATTCGTAGGCCCGTATTCTTTGCACAGAACAAACAATCGATGACGCGAACAATCGGGACAGTTGTGGGTATATGTATGTGTGTATGTGCGTTTGTGTGATTGTGGATCTAAAAATGCAGATCTTCTATTTGGATGCTGTGTCACCTAGAAAATTCAGAATGCAAATGACACCTGTAATCGTCGGGGTTCGGCGCAGCACAGGATCGCAATATTTTCCTTCTTTTCTCTTTTTTCAAACAGCGAGAAATAAATAAGAAAAGAAAAAAAGGAGAACACAAAAATTCGAAACAAAAGAATATATATACACGATTAACATCGAAACGAATATATTTAATTGCAAGTTATTAAAAGTCTTCCTAATTGTTAACTTCCACTTGAAAAATATCACAAGATGTTCAATAATTCGAAACAGGTGAGACACACGCACGGTCAACAAAAGTGGGCAGAGTGACTTAAGATTCGAATTATAAAACAGCACCGCACACGTTCCTCGAATGGACGCAGGTGGTAAACAAAAACTAGAATGCAGACGGAAAGAAAAAAAAAAAAAAGAAAGAGATCTATACAACTGAGCAGTTCGATGCAAAACGTTCAGAGTGATGCAGAATATAAGTGCGGAATATTCTAAGAGCTAAAATAAAATAAAATAAAACGAAGAAAATATAGCATGCCTAAGGGACCGAATCGCAGCTAAATTAAAATGAGACTGATTTGTAGGTACGCACGAGAGCTATGTCAACAATTCATCTTTTGCCTCGTCTCATTTCTGTCCCCTTAACCAGAAACATTTTAATTTTCACGCCTGAATACGGGCCTTACGGTGCGACGGACTCATGGAAGAGCAGGAGGAGAATGGGTTGCTGAAGGTGGATCAGATCAGCGGGACATGTATACAGGGTGGATCAGAAGAAATGTTTGAAATAAAAGTTGTTTGACTCGAAGGGAGAAAAAAGATAGGGATATTAGTGCTTAATTTTGCGCGAGCAGTATCTGGCGAGTTTAAATGGATCGCTGCCCGTTTCTAGGGCAAATTGTATTTCGTAAACAATTCAATTTTTTACCATCTTACCCTAATAACTTTTTACGATGAATATTGCGAGGAATTGACTTATATAAAAAAATTAGGATGGTTCCATTAAAAAAAAGGACGATAACCTTCAAATCTCCGAAGCGCCTCCACTCAAGATCAAACTAATATCCCTATCTTTTTTCTTTCTTCGAATCAAACAACTTTTATTCAAAACATTTCTTCCCGTCTCCAAAACTATGGATGTTGTTCAGGTGGTCAGTCTTAGGTGGTCCACCCTGTATATACTTGATGTGTAACAAAGGCGTAAGCATGCCGCGCATGTTTCCACGAGATGTCTTCACGATCGTCAAGATCGGTAAACCGATGTCACATCGCGATCGTCTTCCTTGCTCGTCACAGAAACAGCATCTCGTTAAGGCATGCATACGGTTAAGTAAGTAAGAAAGAATTTTCTCCGAGGAGATGGTGCAGTGGTCTCTCGTGTCACATTCTGTGATACAGATACACGTGCCGCTTAAGGATACGTAAGCGGAACACGTGTATACATATACATATCGAGGATTACAGGGAACGTGGGAGCGGGATCACAGGGAGCTGTTTGTATCAAGATGCAACGAGGTGCGTACTGCGTGTGTTCACTAACCTTTCACGCACGTTGTTGGCCTGGCGACGTTCTTTCTCGCGCACCGCTTTGGTGCCGGGATCGTCGCAGTCTTCATCGGCGCTCGAACAACGGTTGTTCAAAGACAAATTAAGTTAGTAATCAGAGTAAAGTTCCAACGTTCGAGGGTGTAAGGTATTTCCGGCTTGGCGCGAAAGAAAGATGGAGCCATGTATTATTCCCGAATAGATCCCGAGAAATTCATGTTACCAACGTGTTTCACGCCTCGACATTTCAAATAACTGACTGACTGACTGACTGATTGACTGACTGATGAACGAACGAACGAACTAACGGACAGATGGACACTTGGACGCGCGTATACGACTCGCGACGGGTTTTCATCTCCATCGTAGTCACACGGTAAAAAAATTCACGAGGAACTCGGTGCCGTGAACGAGCTGGGAAACGATGAGGTTCTCCAGATACTTACTATCTGCGCGATCTCTTGGTGCCCTTGCCTTGCGACGTCGAATTCACCGTGGCAGCCCCGATCACACCGGCGGCCGCGAGTTCACTGCTCGACGGCTTCGTTTCGCCGCCACTACTGTCCGGTGGGTCTTTCCTCTTCTCTAAAGAGATGTATTCTGTTCATTATTAATACTGCCGCTTTAGATCTGCACAAGGATTCATCGCGTTGTAACTCGCAAGATGGAAGGAAACCAGTGAAGCGAAGGGACAGTCCGAAGGAAGTGTCGTTTGGGAGAAACTCGAGCACAAAATGACCGGTGTGTTTCGGACGGAACGTGCATCGGGAAGTTGCGGACACGTCGCGATGTAGCTGCAGCTTCATACGAGCACCGTGTTATCTGATGCACGTGGGAGAAATTGACGTGAGAGCTTACCCGGAAACGAAGAGGCCGAACAGCAGAGCAACAGGAAGAAAGAAACAAACGCGGCCGACCTTCGCGCCGAAGACGGCGATCACGATCTTCGATTATTCGCGAGCTTTGGGCAAGAGGCTTAGTCACGAAACCGTGAAAAGTGTCCAATTAGGAGCAGGAAGCACGCTTTACGGGATTCCGCTCTCAACCCTGATTCAACGATCTCTCCTTAAACGCTCGCTTGCTCGCTCGTTCTCTCTCTCTCTCTCTCCCCCTCTCTCTCTCTCTCTCTCTCTCTCTCTCTCTATCGTCTGACGACAATTCGCCGACGTTTCGCGAGAGTATGAACTCACGCTCCAATTCCGCGAGGAGTGCGTGTCTCCGTGGACACTTGCGCGCGCGCAATTGTGTGCAAAAGTGCGCGATCGTTTTTATTAGTTCGCCGAGCTTATGCTGCTCGCGTGAATTTCAACGCGCGTTTTCTTCACTTCGGAACGTTCAAACGACAACCCGCTAGCCGATGAACTCTCCGAGGCACGTTCTCTACTGCGAGAAGACTGTCCGAAGAGATACTTGAAGAACCTCTGTTCATTATCGCGATTTCCAAATCCGCGAGAACGTCGCGCGTACCGTTGTTCGAGTCTAACGGCGAGTCTCTCTCTTAATTTGCGCGACTGAGAGGATTCCGAATGCAAACCCCCTCGGGACATAATGACTCTGATAGCAAGGGTCTATCCTGAGACAGACGCAGCGAGGCGGAAAGAGAAACGAAGAGCGGCATAACCGAACGTACTGCGCGCAGGAATAATGCAAGCACGACCGCGAGCGCTGGACAACGAGAGAAAGAATGTGTGTATGTATGTGTGTGTGTGTGTGTATGTGTGAGAGAGAGAGACCGCGTGATTTATCTAATATTTCCTTATTCGGCCGCACAGGCCCGTTGCAGAACACCTGGGAACTCCTTCTCTCTTTTTTCCTCTCCTTCGCGGTACACATGGGAAAAGTAATCTCGCTCGATGATGCGACGTAGTAAGAATAGAATGGTGCGATCAGAGTAACGCGATTGTACGACTCGTCTACGTACTCCTAGTGAAAAATTATTAGATGTTTAAGAAGAGGAAACGCGCAAGGATGATGATCTGCCGCCGGAACCGACCGGCGGGTTTCACGGGCAAATCTTCCACCTCGCAAGTTACAAGTCGCAATTTGCGCGAATGCTGAGGCCACTTCGGACAGTCAACTTACTGGCATTCGTGACGGGTAACCTCTCGATCTTGATGGATCCGTCCGTGTCGGGCGTGGGCGTGAGACCGGGGTAGGAACCCTGAGGTTGTGCTACCGTTACCGCAGAGTGTGGACTCGTCTGAAAGCACAGCGCAATTAGAGGTGTACACGTGGAGACGAGCGAGAGAAGGTCGCTCTTTGATCGATCCTTACCAGATGATCCAACTGCGGTGGTGAGGTGTGCGAATATATCGCGCTATGCGGGCCTACCGGGCCGAGGTGAAGGCCTAGTTGACTCTCCGCGTGGTTCCTTAGGACGTTTATGGCGTCGTCCAGCCGTTCCTCCATTCGGGTTCCCTGTACCAACAGAATACCGAGACATTCGACTCGATTACACGCCTGTAGTTCCAGCACGCCGGTCGTAGAGATTCCGTTAAGTATATTACTACTCAAGAGGTATCACGACAAAAAGAGATTTCCAATTGCTCGTTATTTATGTTCTTAGAGAAAGAGAATCTACGTTCAGAAGAGTCTTCAAAAAAGTTTAAGTCGAAATCGAGACGTTTTATTTTATTACACTTGTCAGTGTTCCACGATAGGAAAAGATCAAAGACTGTTAGTTCCACTGATCCAGAAGAATAGACTTCGAAAGAGAAACGGTCTAGTGAGAGATAATAATGAGAGATTTAAAAAACTTGGAAAATTTATATCTGACCGCGGTAAAAAACGCGGTTCGACCCGATTTAAAACGCCGGCCGATCGTCCGAGGACGATTGTGTTAATGGAAATTCAAGCCATGATTATAAATTGTGTATAATGAGAGCTCTTCATCACAATATATAATCATCAATTAACCGAAAGCGTAATTAGCAAAAAGTGCAGTGAACGTGTTCTTGCGTAACTGTTACGTGATGGTCTCGGCATAGAGACGACATGCGCAAGTATAAAAAGAAAAAGGGAGATAAAGAATCCTGACGAGTCAGCCACGTAGAAAAAATGAGCGAATGAAGAGGGGGGGGGGAAAAAAACTGAAATTCGGCAATCCTCACCTCGGCATGGTCGCGAAGGAAGCCGATGGCATCGTCTAACCTCTGCTGTTCAGGCGCCGGCTTCACACACAACACCAACGCAACAACAAAACCAAAAAAAAAAAGAGAACAACCAAGTCAACACAACGTTCACAACAAACAGGGCGGAATGAGAGAAAAAAAAATGTGTAACGAACGGGAGACGTAATAGACTCGATAACTTAGGGCGAAGGGAGGACGAACAAATGGTCGCGGCTCGCGTGAGGACACATAAACGGTGATGATGGTGATGATGATGATGATGATAATGATGATGATGGTAAAGAGGGAAAAAGTAAAAAAGAAAACCGCGCGGTGCAACGCGATCATACTGCTGTTTGTGCGACTTTAACGCGGTGAGATTATTGGTCTGTTCTTTTCAGCTGCACTGCTGAACTGGTGCAATGAGTTAGAGTGAGAAAAAATATACTTGTCTCGCTGTAACTTATTGCGTCAATTCAGCGATGCGGCTAAAAAGAACAGGCCATATAATTATGTGCGAAGAGCGACCGTAAAACTCACTCCACGACGAAGCGCTTCAACTCGAAACAAGTGCAAAGGTTCTCGACTTTTTTTTTTCTTCGTTTCTTGTGAAGTCTCACTTTATACATGGACATGACTTCTTCTTCTCCTCCTCCCACTCGATCCTCCCCCCTCAAAAAAAAAGAAAAAAACTTGTGCGTGCCCTACCGATGAATAACTGCCGACGACGTGTCGCAGTTAGTACATACAGCGATACGTTATTACCGAAGAAATGCGACTGGTATGTTCGAGCACTCGAGTAAAAGTGAAGTGTGTCATGTGCGTGTGTCTCTGAAGCGGCCAAAACGACGCAGCGTGAATGTGCACGCGGCCGCGGGAACCTTTCGACACGATTGACTAATTGAATTTCATTAAATCATTACGGTATTCCCTCGTACGACGGGATAATGCGAAGAAACCACCCCTGGAGGGTGAAGTGTCGAGAGGATCCCGCGCGACCGCTGCCTACGCGCTTGTGCCGGGGCCCCGTGAAAAAAAAGAGAAAATTAAGAAAAAAAATTTCGGGAATTAGTTCGAATTCAGAACAACGTTCTCGATACGTACCATGTGAATACCACGGTTGGGGTCCGCCGTGAAATGCGGGGACACTGGTGCGGCTCCAGGTGCCCAACCTGGCGCCGAACCGGTTAAAGGTGGTGGCGAACTGACGGGCGTAGATGGATTACTGCTATAACTGGATACTGATTGGTCCGTGGGATAGATCTGCGAAAAACGTCGCGATAGTGACGTGACCGTAGACGTAAATATGTTTCAACATTCAAGTATACACACATGAGAAAAGCACAACTCCGTGTTAGTGTAACCGAATTTTCTGTTATTTCAGGGACCAGATGAAAAACTCGACTGTAGAAACAGAAAGATTACCGTAGGAGAAGGTTTCCACTCAGCCAATTGCTACCAGTTATCTTAACCGAGTTTTAACGTATCTGAATGTTTAGACGAATGTTTTCGCAGTCACAGAGATATTATTTCTTGTCAGCGAGTTTTTTTTGTCCGATCCCCATTCAGTTACCCAAACTGCAATTGTGTTTTTCCGTATACGTCTCTCTTTCTTTCTTTTCTATTTCTTCTTACGCTACGTTTGTGTCTCACAGATACGAAATTATGCCATCTTCTTTGTACCGTCCTGAGATTTTTTTTACACGCGAACATCCGTGACTTTTGCACGAAAGAAACAACTACGTTGGTGTAACTGAATTTTCCGTTGCCTGGTAAGAATAGCAACCGAATGAAAAACTCAATTGTAGGAACAGAAAGATTTCTGTAGGAGATTTTTATCCACTCAACTATTCTCTTACCAATCTATCTGTAGACATTTTTCCTATGAATTTTCTATTATCTGTATATTCTGAGAGATCAGTGTCTATTTGATAGATACGGAAGCTGAAGTCTTGCTCAATACCTCTAAATAGTAGAAAACGCCCAAAATGTCATTTTTACCATCTAAGAACCTCTCAGCAAAGCTAGTAGGTTGAAATTGAAAGAAAGAGATTGATATGAACCTCATAGTAAACGTTGAATGGAATATCGAGGTGAAAAGTAGGATCACAAATTTCGATCTTTAACTTCGTGAAAGAATTTTGCCGACGCGTGCCAAGGCGAAAGCGCGACGGGAATCCGCAAGACACTCGGACGACGAGCTGCGACAGCGAGGTCGACGTCGATACATACTCGGGTGCTTACGGATGCGAGGGTCTTGCCGAGGGTGTCGCCGGGGGTGGTTTGCTGGTTCGTCGTGGGCGCAGCGTTGGGCGCGGAGGGCGCGGTCGTCGGTGCACCAGGACTATGGCTATATTGCAACGATGCCGGCGACGGTGCTCCCGTGCCGCTGTTCGCCGCGACCGCGGCACTACCCCGGAATGTTGACATCGGCGGCAGGGAGGCCGCACTGGTCACCGCCGAGCCCAAGATCGGCGCTGTCGATTCCCCGTTCGGCGACATCGCCGAATATGCCTGAAACCCCAAGCGCACAAATGTTACACGTGGTGGTTCACTCCGGTGGTGACTCCGGTGGTGACTCCGGTGGTGGTGGCACGTCTTGGTCAAGGTCGTGCGACACGAGCATACACGCGCGTCTTCTGTCTGTACGGCTGCGAGCTTGCGGTTCGCGTCTCGGTAAAATAAACTCGAGTACATTGGAGAATCTGTGGATTCTCTCTCTCTCTCTCCCCCCCCCCCCCCC